TATATATATCATTAGTACGAAGTAAATTGGTAAATAGGTAAATAGTAAACTTTGAATTCTAGTAAAACAAAAAGTATCTCCCTAATTGTCTAAGGTCAATAATAGTCATTTGAAATATGATCTGTACCTGTGGTTCAATAGGGAAGAGTACATAACATGTATGAGAATGAACCACCTGTGCTGTCTTAGGAACTGGGTCACTCATTTATGGGTGTTAAAGGTTTTCTTCACTACAGTTCAGAGTATTAATCAAGGTCTTTTACTTACAGGAGGGTCTGAATCTTCAGCATAAACGGTTGTGATAGGTGTACCTTTGACAGCATCTGGAGCCACCATCCCTTTGTAGATGCGTTTACTAAACACTGGAGGATAATCATTCATATCCTGGAAAGCACAATTAAGAGCTTAGTACTTGGGTTGTAACCGGGTTAGGTGCACAGTTACTTGTCCAGCTCCCCCTCTCATATCATACAATCCATTCATATCATATAACCCTCTGTCAGCCTTCCATCCTCTCAATTCTATTACTTTCACCTCAGAATGGTGCTCCAGAGTAAATTGCCGGAATTCCTATATTAATGTCTATGAATGGTATCAACAGAAGTCCATTCTGCTCGAGTAAACAGTCTGTCACCCACCAGCCACCACCAAATGCACCTTTTAGAGACTGGAGTGATGCTTGAGATTTCCTTAAAGATACCTCTATTGGAATAATATATTACCAAACTTTGAAAACAAGTAAGAACAAATTTTTTAAAAAGTGCCATTCTATGAGACAAGTGTAGAAGATGTTTTTATGTTTATTTTGTTGTTTTTTTTTTTTTAAAGGCCCTTCAATATTTCCGTTGCAACTTCAACTTCTTTATATCCTTAGCATAATGGTATGATTGGAACATTTCAAATGCAAAGTGTGAAGTATTCTTTGATGCCATCTTACATTTTTCCAAATGTAAAATGATTAAAGGATGTTTTTCCTGTAGCACACTACAACAATGACAAAGAAGATTAGATGTTCTTATAGACAGAAAACAATGATAATTTACTTAAGGATTGTAATTTATATGCATCTTTTTTATTTTTATAAGTGATATAAGTACATTTTTATTTATATAGTATCATTCATTAATCAAATATTTGTCAAGTTCCTCCTATTTTTATGATCCAGTGCTAGGCAGTGGGGATACTGTGGTGAGTCAAAAAAAAAAGACACCCCTGTCTTCATGTCACTTTAGTGCTATTTGACCAGTAAAGTACTGAGTCCACAAATAGGTTAGTGACTTTGCCTCAATTAAACTACTTATTTTGCAGAGATAAACTGATAAATCTGATCCCTTGAAAGCAAGACCATTTTTCCTCAAACATTTTATCTTTTATAGAGAATTGCAGATTATTTTTTTTTTTCTCAGAAACAATGCTTATTAACATGGCTGATTTATACTTCTAAAATTTTATTTTAAAATAATCATTATATCCTTTCATTGTTTCAAGTAATTTGGGTCAAATGTATTTGGGCCCAAAGCTAAATTTGTTAATTATCTTACTCTCCAGGTCATCTTCTTCTCACTTACTGTTAAAAACAAAAGGGGAAAATTATTCTATGTGGTCTTTGATATTTACTCTGCTACAATAATATTCCTGTATAATGTAAATTGGAAACACACAAATTAACTAATGATAAACATCTCTTTTTGTAAAGAGATCAGAATAATCATCTATAACAATCAAATAGAACTTGTTTCATGTTCACAATAGAGTTGACTTCTGAGTTTTTAATATAAAGGAATCTGAAGACTCTAATAAAAAATAGGAGATCTATATTGTAAACAAAACTGAAAAATAAAAAGAGATCATTTCCTTTGTTTTGACATATAGTATTCACAACCTCTTTCATAAAAAAAAAAAAAAAAAGAGTCCTTTTGTAAATTATGAGCTTTGATCTGATCAAGCAAATGAATCAAAAAAGTACTGGTCCTCTATAATGAAGGCAGTGTAGGGTGTTGATCTTGAGGTTCCAAGGTATGGGGTAAGTATATAAAATATTTGCATGCATACTATTTCACTCTTTTCAAGAGTGACAATCATTTTAATGAGTGAACCCCGTAACTACAAGGATAAAAACACTTTAGCACCCTTAAATTGTAACTTCTGATGCTTAGAAAAGGAGCCCAGCACTGCAATTTTTCTGTACATGAGTCTTCAAAGTCACATAAACTCAATATGCCCCTATGAATTTTCTTCTTTTTTTTTTTTTTTTTTCTCTAGGGACATTTAAAAACTAATGGTAAAATGTATCTTTTGGATAATTTGATTCTTCAGGAAAAAAATAAAGATATGTGATATTTTAGTTATGTCTATACATAGCTGCCAACAGTGATGAGTAGAGTGGCCTATTTTTACTGAGAAAGTATTCACAAGATTCACCTTCTAACTGAATGTACAGTGGACATTTTTATGATCTGGCCTCACAAACTAATTAAATGCAAACCTAAGGCTATAGGCCATTAAAAAATTGGTATCTCCTACTATAGTTTGCTTGCCATTGGCAGGATGAAGAATAAAGCGATGCGATTATTGTAGCAGTATTTCTTATGATACATTGTCTACTATTGGAGTTATAATCTTTTACTGTGGTTAAGAAGTGCAGCCAATTGCACATAGTCCTTGCACAATGCATTATTTCAGAAGAGAAAATTTATTGAAATGTAATGCCAATGAACATAATCAATAGTTCCATATATTTATGCTCCAGGGATATCTGAAGAAAAATGTACATAATCTGCTTCTGTAAGAATGTTTTATCATGTAGCAAATTAAAGATAAAAAGCACTCTCCAAAAGCAAGCCCCATTCTGTTGTCCATTATTCCACTAGAGGGTAGTATTGGTAAAAAGAAACATTTCTTTTTTTTTGCCCTGGATAACAATTTTATCACTAAGACCCTTGATAGTTTACTTTCTGTGGTTTTATTTTTTGCTAGTCTGAACAAAAATGAGTTTTCATGTTTTTAAAGCATAGTCTGAATGTAACCATCATTCTCAACTAGAATTCCACCATGTTGTTCTTAAAAGAAAAAAAAAAATCATTGTACTCATAAACTTATAATCTGGTCCCATGTATTAAGCAAATAAAATTGCACCTGAAGGAACAGTTAGCTAGGAGAAAGAAAATATGAGTTTCATTTATTGATTTTCTAGATTAAGGTCTAAAGTAATCGCAGACACAATTTCTACTTTGGCAGCCACAGAGTAGTTTCAAGGAACTTTTTTAAATGAGTATACAAAGAAAATAGGATCTTGCTGGTGAGATTACAAATTAATGATAGGTTCTCCATAAACAACAAAGAGAAAGAAATGACGAATACATACATGTTTTTAGTTTTCTTGAATCATGGGTAAAAATTGTTCTGGATGAAAGGCTTTTGCCTGATAAAAAATGTAATAACTGGTTATACTCTGATCATCCTTTTTAAAATGATGAAAATATATAGAGAGAATGCCGGCCCTCAGCCTCTTAAACTCTCGCACATGTTCTATGAGGGGACACGGATGCTGTGTGTCAGCGGGTGAAATGACTTCCTTTACTACTACAGTACTGTCTAGCGTTAGCACTACTCATGCAGAACTGTTTAGCTGCTCTGCCTTCAGAAACCCTGTAAGACTATGGAGCTGATACCTAGTCTTCCTTGGTAAACTACACAGTTAATTTCTCCTCTGCCTATTACCAGTTCTATTTTCCGCTACCAGACACTCTCTATTTGCTGTCTTGGTTGTTGTTTCTCATATGATCTGCCTTCTGCTGTTTGTTCCCTCTTGGTTTCTCTACTTGTCTTTTCTGACATTCTCTCCCTTCTCTTATGGTTCTGCACATAGGGTCAAAAAAGTCCCCATTTCCAGCCAAACAAAGTTTTATTTTTCTGTTTGGCATGAGGCTCTCTCAAACACAAATCATAAACATTTACCGACTTTTTAAAACAATCATAACCTGCACTGCAAACAACTTTCTTAGTTGCCTAAATTTGTTTTTGTTTAATTTGGTTTTTATTTCTGAGTTTAGAACTATTCTGATTTTTTTTTTTTTTTTGTGGTTGTATATCCCTGGCGTAGAAGTAATCAAAGTTATGCTTTGTCACAAGTAGCAAAATGTACACTGTGTTGTATAACTACTGATATTGATGGAACTTCTACTGGGCTTTAGGCAGTACTTTAGGTGCTGGGGATATGGTTACTCTCAGAAAGGCATAGTGCCTGCTGGTACTGAAGATACGGTTTAGTGTGGAAAGCAAACATTAAATAAATAATGTCGAGTGTGATGCACGTAATAGAAGAGGAAATACAAAGATATGATGGGAGTGCATAGTAAGGAGTTGAATTAACTAAATTTAACATAGGCTACGTTTCTGTAATCTGAGCAACTGCCCCATCACTAATGCGCTCTGGCAGGTAAAACGGTATTTCCAAATTGATATTAATTAGAAGAGAATAACAGTACACAATATTGACAAACCCACTGATTTAATACACAATTCCATCCTCATCTAGTTTCCCTGTGTTGGAATGGTGATGTGGAGGAAAAAGAGTTAATGTATTTTTGGAATTTTTTTACAAGCCATGACACTACAGTCAAATGGGAGAATAAGTGCATATTCTAATCTCTGAGTAGATTCTAACAATATCACCCTATTTTAGACTTTCTCCAAAGTGCATAATTGTTCTATAGATATAGATAGATTAGATATAGATATAGATAGATATATATAGAGAGATATGTGTGTGTGGTTTATTTTTACTGTATATGTGAGGTGTGTTAAATTTATCTCAATTAATTTGCTTAAAACATATTAGCTATATTTATCATTATTCCTGTTTTAACTATAAGAAATCTGAAGCTTGGAGAGAATAATTTGATCATAGTTATTCAGCTAATAAAGGATAGAGCTATGATTTAATTCTGGTATGTCAGATTTTATAAGCATTTCAACATTGGAGGTGAAGAAGAGAACTGGAAAAATCATCAGAAGATTATATGTATGATGGCTTGGGTACAATTTTCACTAAAAAAATCCACACATAACTTAAAATATCTCTCTCTAAAAGTATTTTACATTAAAAAAAATTCTTCCTACTAGTTACTCCACTTTTATCTCAGTAAACTGGTGAGCTTCTAAACATTGCATAATGCTAATCTATTTCCCTGAAGATAATTTTTTACAATTATTCATAAAACTTTTTTATTTGTTTAGTAAAAAGAGAGTTGTAGCTGTTGTATTTATACTCTTAAAACAATTTATTTAGTGTTTAAACCTAGAAATAGTTATCTTCACTAAAACCTAACGAGGTTATTTTTCCAAATTACCTTCTTTGAAAAAGTAGTCTTATCAGAAGCTTTACAATCAAAAAGAATCCCATGATCAATTGTGAGAAATATGGAAAATCATGTTTTATTTTCCTGAGATTCACAATGTACATTAGAATATTAAAGGCTCCCATATGAAAGCCTACAGTGTAGAGATCTGTTTACTTCTGTATAGCCCAGTGTTTCCCAAATCCATTTGTCTATGAAATTCATTGTATATGAAACACCCACTATCATCTTGAGGAGCTAGTGTTCTATAAAATATATCCTGAGAGAGTCTGAAGATATTGAAGGCACAAACCAATACTGTTTGGAATAGTGTATGATTTTGGTGAATTCAAATTTTCAGAGAATATATTGAAGATTCCAATATATCAAGAGTATACTCCAATATGTGGCCACCAATTCATCAGCTACAGCAATGAAGGGATTGGAAAATGATGACAGTGCCTAGCAGCAATTGGCATCAACGAGCTTATCAGCATCTTTTGTCCCCACTGGGAGGCAATTCAGTTTTGGAGAATTGTGACAGTAGCAGTCCTGGTCTCATTTGCTTTGGGTGGCAGGGGAAAATGTGATAATCACTAAAGGGTAAAAGAATTTAATCATAACACAAATGAGACAATTTTTTTGAAACTTCCAGATATCAGTGGGTGATATTTGAGGAACCATGAAAGAGACCTATAAAAATATGAATTATTACCGCTTATGATATAGTATTTTTTAGCTCTGGGCATATACATTTCTAGTTTGGTTCTGGTGTTACATCTTAGTTATAAAACTCTAGAAAAGCAGAGTATGCAGATACTTTAAAAAACTATCTAACTTAGCTCCATGATATGACCCCCCTCCCAATATATTCATGTTCTTTAAACTTTGTGGCAAATATATTAGAAAAAATACACTAATAATACAACAGTGCAGAATAGAATAGAAGGAAATATTTGAAGACCATAGTCCAAAACAAATGTTTTCTCCAGGTCAACTAATTCCAAAGGGAAAATCAGCAAGCTGTAAAAAATAATGATCAATCTAGTAGATCATATTCCTACTAGCTGGTTTGTTGAAATCATCTTTTATCCAATCTCCTCTTTCCAGAGAAAAGGAAGGAAATATGATGGAAATCTTGAAATGTCCAGAGGTTCCTTTTTGTTTGAATCCTGGACTACCTCCTGGTCAAACCACAGCTCCTCTGACCAAATCGAAATCATATTCTACCAATATTGTCACAATGGAGCATCAGTGGCACATCACCACTTACTGTTTCCATGGTCTGGAAAATGCCACCTTGGTACTGGAAATAGAGTTTATATCTAGAAAAATCAGAAAAGCCTCTTTCTACATTTTATGCAGGTAAGAACATTTATTTTCTACCTGGAGGAGGAAATCCCTCTGAAAGATGAAAATACTAGCTCCATCTTCCAAGACTTACTGTATTTCCCAAGTCTGGCCCTTATGGATAGTTTCATTTCTGATCTTTCCACCTATTTCTGCCTACTCTTATACCCATAACCCTCTAAGGCAGGCAAACACAACCAGGGGTGAGTTCAGTCTCCTCCCTTCACAGAAGCATCTCCCTCACTCTTTCTCTTACTCCTGTGCAGCCATTTTATCTAAAATTACAGTAAGCAAAATGACTTAAGTCATCTTTTCATCTTGGACAAGTCTTTCACACTTCTTTTAATGCTGCCCAGTGCTGCATATTCATTCATTAACACACTTCAAATATTCTGGCTTGTATTCAGCTTTTGGCTTACTGTAGAAAATAGACCTGCATATTTTCTAGAGAGCAGATTTTCCTCTGGATTTTACATTTTAAACTGTTCATAGCTTTATTTTTATTTTCTGGTGATTTACCCATATCATCTAATTTCATATTATCACAGATTCAATACCAGATATTCAATAAATGTATAATGAAAAATCCCTGTTTTATCAATGTTCTATTAAAAATTGCAATAAAAGCATATTATTTATATGATTATCACTGATTTTGACTGGGATCCTTAAAATTTGACACTAAAAAAGCTCTTTGTAGGTGTCTGTCATAAAATTCTATTTTCTTTCTACTGCAAAATACTTTTCCTTCCAGATATTACTTCTCCCATTTTCACTCTAATTTTAAATGGGGTTGATGGCCTACATATTAAGTGCCTGATATTTTTTTTCTTTACAAAAGAAATTATATTTTTGCTCATTTTCAAAGAGAGATCTTCAAGATGCTTTTCCTCTGGTGAGTGTTTTGAGTAGAAATATATCTTAGCAAACATCATACAATTATGTTATCAGCAAAACAGCTTGTCAGTACTGCAAGTAAACAGACCAATAGCAGAAAATTTGCAAGCTTTGAAAAGATCTACATATGTGGAAAAATGAGAATTGTATTTCATTTTTTCTTCAAAACAAACAAGTGTGGTATTTTTATGGGCCCAAATAGGATACCTTGAATGATTAGGAAAAAAGAAAGCAAGAATTAGCTTGCATTTGTGGAAATAGTCTACTAATTTTATTATGCTTATAGTACTTAAAAAAGAAGAAAAGTGGCATCAAAAATATGTAGAATTAAATATTGTTTAATTGTACAATAAATCAGAAATAACTTTGCATAGATCAGGAAGACACTATCAATAAAATGGTTTGATTTCTCTAAATAAGATAAAGAAACCGAGACAACAAAATTTGATTAATAGTCTCCTATTTCTGAAAGAGAAATAAACCCATCAATGAGCAACTCCTTCCCATATCCTGATATAGAAGGCTTGAATGACACCCATATTTTAAAATAAGGAATGATAAGAGAACAGAGAATGCATTTTAAGAGATTCGAATCCCAAATAAAGAGTGAGAGGCTCATTTAGTGCACATCTTGCTCCTTTAGATAACATGTTTGGAACAATTTGACCCCGAAGATTTCTTCCATCAAAAAATAAAAAAAAATAAAAACCCAAAAGTCCAAGCAGTCAAATCAGAATCTGTGAGGGTTAATAACTCTCTTTTATCAAATACATCCATCCTGAGAGAGAAGGCTATACCATTTGAGTATCCATCTTTGGATCTGGGATGAATAGGGAGAAGGTCATTAGCAGCAATTAGTAGTATTAATAGTCTTTTCTTCTCTTATTGCCCAAAAGCATCAACAAATGGATTATTTTTCTATTTTAAATGTTTTAAGTGTTCAATTCTATCAAACCATATGGGAAGGTAAGAGAAAACCAAAGTAAGATGGCCTAAATTTTTATCTGGTCCAGAAGGCATTTTGCTATAATTAGTTCATTTAGGTCATTCTCATGTTAGTCTTTTTCATCTCTTTATGTATTATATTTTCATAACGCCAATATTATTATGTTCCTAAAATGTTTTTATAAACGGATTCCTAAATTTCTAAATGTCATACCACAATAGTGTGACAAAATAGTATTTCAAAACATGAAGTGAAGCCCTACGGGTCCTTGGTGATTTCATGAGGTCCTTTGATCCTTCCGCAGGCTACTAGAGAATTTAAAAATCATTGTTTCAGGAAAAAGATACAAAAAGAAAGGCAGGTAACCCAAGAAAAGATTTTGATAGTTTAAATTCCTTTTCCCAAAGAGAACTTAATGTTGAATAAAATTTAACTTTCTGAAATAAATACAATTACCACTATCTGAAATAGATGAATTTCTTAGGATAGAGAAACATAGAACGGAAGAAGTAGGTTCAGACCATTGTGGACCCCTGAGAAAGAAGGAATTCAGACCCTAATAAAACTTCATACAGCTTTATGTCATCTGAGAATGGAGGGGACTTGTGTTTCCCTTCTAAGGAAGTTTAGAGGAGTCAGCAGAACTCTAGGAAATAAATGGCATCAGATTGTACTGGCAGATGAACCTCAGTCAAGTGTAAAGAAAAAGCAGTGGAATAATCCCTGGGCCCCACTCTGACTACAGGATTATCTTAAACAAAACAAAACAAAAAACAAAATAAAACAAAACAAAACAAAACAAAACACCAAAAAATAGACCCAGAAATTTTACAGTTAAGAGCATTAAAGCATTTACCTAATGATAAATACAATTAGGTTAATTTATATTGGTTTAATCTTTAATAGTCTTTTATGTTTTCATATTGATATTTTATTGTCTAACAAAATCAAGTGTTTTTAGTTATGTATCAGTTAACCATCAAATAAAAACTCAAGAAAAGGGATGATTTCTTATTTCATCATTTTTACATTGCAGTTCCCTATACAAATGAGCATTGTAGAAAAGTTGCTTATGACCTGTGTACACTGAGCCCTCAAAGAAAAGCATCTTTAAGGAATTGGAGTCATCCCAAGAACCTAACTTTCTCTTATTCTAGGCAGAATTGCATTAGTAGAAATGCATTTGTGATGCTTTCCCCAGAGGAAAGATGCTCCTTTGGGAATGAGAAGAAAAATCTGAAAGTTTAGTATGCAGTACAGGAGACGTTTACATACACTAATATTTGAGAAATGATGAATCTTTCCTCATGTCTAATTTTAAAAGTATACCTCAAAAATCACTGGAAACCCAAATCATTGAAGATACCATGCTCTTTCAGTCAATCATTTGCCACAGAGTAGTATAACATGGTAATATAATGAATGAGACAACCAGTCTAGAGAGGTTAACAAAGTCCCCCACATTGCAGAACTTGAAAAAGGTTGAACCAGAACTTTATTTCAGTTTCATCTGATTCTAAAGCTTATTTCATTCCAGAATCTTGCATTCCAAACTACACTAACCTAATTAGTTCTGGGTGCTTAGAACACAATATAGATAAGTAATAATGTTATTTCTCAAGTCTTCATAAATATTTAACATTCAAAAATCTGTGTTCTGGGTCTGGTACCACTGTGTTATTATGAATGGTTGCCCTAAATATTATAGGTATAGTATAAAAAAACAGAAGCTACATGTAGAGACTGCAAAGTAGGCAACCAGAAGTCATCTATATTCCTTACCTTTACTATCACTGTAACAGTAGCAATACCAGGTGGCATTGTCCCATAAATATCAAAGGCCTCCACAAGAAAAGTGATACTTGCTTCCTGATCTGGAAATGACTCATAGTCTAAACTCCTTAAAAGCGAGAGTTCTCCAGTAAATGGATGTAGTGCAAAAAAGTGCTTCACTTCTGGGCTTCTTATCCGATAAGACACATTTGCTCCAAGGTCAACATCTTTGGCCTGTAACAAGTTAAGCGGAAGAATGATTATATCAGTGGTGTTACCAAACTAGAGGAGTGCAGAACTGATGGAAATCATGTGTCAGTGCTTAACATGGCATAAATTTAATGTTGACCAAAAGACATGTTTCAGAGAAAAGCACTTTTGTTAAGTAATTTACCAGAGAGAGGCAGAAAGAGACAGAAAGGGAACAAAGGGAGAAAGAGAGAACGGAGACAGAGACATGAGATTTTTGTTTTTGTTGCTCTTATTACTAAATTTATTTTACCTGAAAAATCACTAATTAAAAGAATTATACCATAGTAAAGAAATAAATATTGTCACAAATGATTTTTAATATTTCCTGCTG